TGCAGTCCCATCTAATACTTGCAGTGAAGACGTTGCTGACTTACTTAAAACTGAACTTGCCCTAGCTAGTAAACCAAAAGAACGCAGAATTAGGTGGGGAAAAAACACAGAGTTTCTCAAAATAAGCTTTTAGATCTTATATCCTACCCCAGCCAAAAGTCAGAAAGGATTCGGATGCAGTAGGAGCTTGTTCTTAAGAAGAGCTTGGTTTCAAAGCCAAACGACAGCTTCATTTAATGAAAAATTTGCCAAAATTTTCGCTAAATAGGACTGTGACTGGCCAGCTGTGCTAGAAATCTATAATCCTCCAGCTGTTCCAAAGACTGCAGGGTAATCAGAAAATTGGCATAACAAAAGAAAGGATTTCAAACTTCAACTCTTTCATGGCACGTATTATAAAAAAGATGTGATAATAGTAAAAAAATAAACACCTTTTTCCTTCTGGGATACATAATTCTGCAGGACTTGAGCAGTTGCACGGTAGCATCTGGTTTTACAACTGACAGCAAAACCCTGACTAGCACAGGCCAGAAAAACAATGATTGTGGGTTTGAGTGACAGCCCCGCTCGTTTTCTTGAGAGGATCGGGTGCAAACCCAACTGTCCATTCCACTGAAAAAAAAAAGACTTCTTTGGAGAAGTATCCACTAGCAGCCAGGAAGAACCTGAAGAAAACTAGGCTGTTGGATGGTTAAAGACACAAGGAGCATCTCCGATCTGTTAAAGACAGCCATTCAGAGCCGTCGTTGTTCACTGTGCCCTGTGAACAAGATTCAGACAGCCGTACCGGTCAAGGAAACCGCTAAAGCAGCTCAAAAGAATCTTTGAGAGCCGAGGTGAATAAGGTAAGCGCGCACATGCGAGAACAGATGCTCTGAGCTGCGGGGAGACGCACATCTCTGTTCGAGGTTTTCAACCCTTCTCGAGTTAGGCTCCTGGAGGAGACGCTCGCAGAACAGTGCTACTGCTTTCCTCACCTCACCCGACCGGTCTAGCGCAGACCTTCCCAACGCCGTCTCCAACAATCTGCCTGGTCTGTAGCATTCCACGGGTTGAACCCTACTCGGCCTGCCTCACCTCTCCTCCGCAGAGACTCGCTAGGCCTGGCAGAGGAAGGTACGCTACTTCCGCACTCCGGCATCAACAAGCTGCTTTTTCTTTGCCCACAATAAGTCTCTCTGCTGAGACTCACTGAGCGGACAGGCTGCCTTTCGGGATCCCTCACTTGAGCTTAAAGCAGGCTTCAGCAAGCTACAGCTACCAAGGCGGTACTGGCTTTGAAACACGCAACAGAAGAACTTCAGACACGGTACCTGGTGGGATAAAGCATCTTTATGACTGGCAGGGGCCAAAACCAACCACAGCCTAGGTTAAATCGTAGCATTTAGGGTTTGGCTTTTGTACGAAGCCTGCGTTTTTTCGGTCTGAGGTGCCACTGTCCAAGACTTGCAGAGCTACTGGAGCTGAGACTTCTTAATAAGAGAGATACCTGCATGCAGACAAAGAGGGAGAAAGAGCTCTAAGCCTTTAACTTGCTGGCACGGCAACCACTGCCGCTTTGCCCCACTAGACTGGTTGGGTTTTAGGGGAAACCCAACAGGGTGCGCTTTGGCCCAGCCGAGCCTAAGGAACGGAAACCCAGGCTGAGACTTTAAGGATCGGATCTGTTGCAGTCAGAAATGGTACAAGCCATGGGAGTGCAGAATTGCTCATTTTAACGTGTGAATTCAGACAAAGCATCGTAGTTTCCTTCAAGCTGAAGTCAGAGGCTTTAAAATGAAGAAAAACCATTGGAAGCTACAAACTGCCATCTTCTGTACAAAGGCACACTTCAGCTCTAAAAGAGCATCCAACATGGAAACTCCTTCGATAAATTCAGGGAAGTATGGGGCATTCCACCCTCCTACACCCGTCCCAAGACTCACCAGTACCACAGTACCATTGCTGGAGGGGTAGATTAGCTGATGCTTGGCAGGGAAGCACAGCTGCAAGTCGTTTAAATATGGAGGCACTACGATGGTACTTTTTAGAAATCGGCAGGTCTGAACGTACAGCAGCACGCAGAAGGCTACACCTGTGTACTATTCCAGACCTGCCAGGCCTCCAAAAAAAGCGCAGCAGCTGGTGGAGACAGCAAGACGACCTTATTGTAGAAGACAGCAAAGATTATTAAATTGCTCATTTTGCTTTCAAAACCATAAGCTATTAGGTGTATTTTTTGTTTTGCTTTAAAGTTTGGTTTGATGAGAGGATTATTTTGTCAAGATTAATCAAATCTGTCCCTGGGACGATGATCAAGAAACACTCTTGCTCTGATAACCTTTCCTTTTAAATAGTTTATGGGGACCATTTGCTGCTGCTGAACGTGCATTACTTTAAAATTGAAAGGCAGCAAGCAAGAACTTACAAGTGCAACATATTTTCGTAAGCTTCAAGAAAACAAAACATAACCTAGGCTGAATTAGGACGTAGCATTAATTTGCGGAAAGAGGAAGCAGTTTCCTGTGTAGTTACATACAGTTCTATCAACTTTCAAAGTGCTTGTTGTCCAGACCAATTTTTTCCATGAAGCTGGACTTCCTTCATGACAGTCAATACCCATCTTGAAGACAAACTGGTTTAAACAGTTTACTTTTCATTTTCACTTTGCTAGAGAGGCTCTTCCTTTAAGAAAAGGAACTCAACATTAAGAAGCAACATGAGAGTTCTCCACTTACCTTTCTGATTTCACTAGTATCTTACGTGCGTCTTCAGGAATTACCATAGATCTTCTATAAAAACAGATGCAAACCCACATCTGGATTTGGTTAAAAAGGTGGTGAAATGCCAAATGCCAGATAACATCAGATCTATTCTCATGTGTGTCTTAACAACAAATTAGCCAGACTATTTAAGAGGTAATTTTGGATGCACCCACGTATACCTGAGGCACACTGCTAATCTGCTTATGACCAATTATTTCTGTATTAGAGCAGTTTAATGTATTAGGCAAGTGAGTGCCATTTCCCCAGCAGTATTTCACCGGAAACCTTGAGAATTCATTTGCCCTACTAGAAGGGCCACCAGCATAAAAGAAAAATATCTCTAATGCAGGGATGCTATCTGGACCACTTTCAGAACCTAACTTTTTCTTTCTGTAACACCACAACATATACTTCCTACTTTAGCAATTATTCCAGATGAACAATTATATAAGGCTCCCAGCTTTCTCCTCTGCCTTGGAAAAAAGTATTCCTGATTTAGCCAGTAGAAATTCAGGCAATAATATTTCAAGATAAATCAGTAATGCTAATAGTTACAGTTTCAGTTGTACTTTGTTCTGCAAGTTCAGCGTTTCCTTAAGTGACAGTTGCTTTTTGATGCTAGGGAGCATCACCAATCTAGGTAGACATTAGATGTTGATATAAACCCAAGGCTTCAAAACAGTCTTCCCAAGAAGGAAATTCAAGAACCATTAAACCATAGCAAAAAGAAGTAAAGTGTACAAGAGGAAGACTTACGACACTTGTCTCCAACTGCTGGCCTGGTCATTCTCCATCAGTGGCCATGATCCAGCCCGCTCAAGCAGCCTGTCTTTGCAACCTCACAGTAGCCACTAGGCCTGGAAAGCAAGACGGGGCCTTGGGGTAAGCTTTACCTTCTTCCTTCCGACCCTGCTGATGGTCAGAGCCCTTACAGTAGTTTCCTGCGAGAGCATTTGCTCACTGTGGTACGGGTCTCCCCAGTGGAGCTAGCCCACTTAATAAACCTACACTTTTAGAGCAAAAACCCAAAACCACTGGCTTTACACTCCCCTGCCATATGTTAACTAGTACTACTTGCAAATGCTAAATCCTGTTAAGGAGTCAGATCATAACTGGAAACAGGCTCGGTATTTTGTGTAGCTTATAATACTGAGAGTCCTGCACACCGATTCACACCATCTGCCCCGACAGCGCTGAGGCTTTCTCTATGCCAAGCGCCATGCAGCCAGCCCGCCAGCCCTGGCCGTCACAGGCCTCCAGTGGAGATCCAGAAGGGAGTTTTTATGGCATTCATCCCTTGTGGCTTGCTTTTGCACATCTGCCTTCTGGGCTGCTCTCAGCTCAGCACAGCTGCTTTTCAGTCAGGCTTGGCCAGGTCTCTCCCTGTGTTGTCAAGGGAGACCTTCGCAGCAGAGACCTACGGGGTCTTCTGCGCACTCACAGCCCACCTACAGCTAACACCGCATCCAGCCCCGCACAGCGGCTCTGGCTGCCTTGCCAAGCCCAGCCGGGGCACGGACAACACGGCTGAGCAGGAAGCCTAGGTGCAAGCTTTGGTACACCACTCGCTCCTCTACTAGCACCTCCTATTGCCAAGGTACAGGAACAGCTGGTTTTGTCCTTTTTCCACCTCCTCCAAGGTGCAAGGGTGACAAAGTTCACTTGTAACTACCACCCGAGTAGCGTTTAGACACTACCGGCATACCTCAGGACAACACTGTTATGCAGCCTGTCAAAACCTGCTGGAATTTGTCTGCTGGCTCTGTGCCAGCCATGCTTATATTTCATTTTTTTAATTATCTACCAACACTTTTATTGAAAGCCTTTGCCTTCACACTTCTTAGATAGTTGTCCAAGTCAAGAACTGTGGTGCTGTGCTTAAACCCAGGTGTGGGCACACAAACACTGCTTCAGGAAAAGCAAAGTTTACATCCCAGAGAATACCAGTTTCAGCTCTCTAGAGATTATGACAAAGACGTCATCACATTTGCCATTTCTGTTCCCTGAGATGTCAATATCCCCCTCCTCTCAACGGATCCTTCTACCACTTCAAGGCTTATATAGGTAGTGGCAAAACAAAAAAAACCAAAAACCAGCCAAGGAAACAGTTTTGGCATTAGAGACACCATCTTAAACAATAAAGACCACACCAGGATGCTCAACCCAAACAAAGAACTACTAAGCCTACTAAGGAATATCCAAAACTGCTTATACACCATAATTCTATCATACCCAAAAACTGACTCCCAAGTGTAAAGTCACAAAGACAAGAGTTTTTAATATTGACAAAAAAAAAAAAAATCTTAAGTTAGTGGTATTCTCTTCCTTGAAATAACATACTGGTCATATGAAAGTCACTGAAGAGGTCTGCTTTTAGCTCGGAAGACTTTTACAGTTACAGCTGAATTCAAAATCCCTATTCCCAAACGTGTGATGTCAACACAAAAAAAAAAATGGAAAACTTAAGACCTGTGATAAGGAACAAATTCAGTTTTTATGGTTCTAGCAGTTACGTGAGGCCTTTCAACACCTTTCCCATAACACGAGGAGCTCTTCAGTATCTTTCCCACCACCGTTATTTCAAGATTCACAATGTTCTTTAAAATACTAATGGGGTTAAATTGAAACCAAGCGCCATATGCTTGCAACGTCTTCTGTGAAGGTCTGAAGCCACCCTGTTTCAAATATTTGGTTATTCAGTGCAGAAAGTTAAAGATCACAGAAGGTATAACAGCTTTTAATACTCCATTAATATATAGATTAAAAATTATTGCATAGTCTTATGCATTTCCTAAAACAGCATTGTCTGGAAATTAAACATTTTAATATAAAAGGAGCAACTCTTTAAAACATGAATTGCTTTCACTACCTCGATCTTCTATCCTTTTTTGATTTGTCAGTACATTTGTCCATCGTTTTCTCATTGTCTCCTCTGCACTTGGGGCAGTACCATTTCCCCTTTGGTTTGTAGGTGAGTCCAACACACGAGAAGTGGAACCACTCGATAGGACACTGTTCGTTATCACATCCTATCATTTCGCCGTAAGACACCTGGTTGCATAAGCAGTAAGTTGGTTCATTGGGATCAATTGCGAACTCTACAGGTGAAACCTCTCTCTCTTGTTTGGCTTTGGAGCGTTTTTTCTTCTTGGAAGATTTAGATCTTTTTTCTTTCGGTGGCTGCTCATCGCAGTCATCGATGCCATTGGCTATATGGCACAGATCACGGCTTTCGCTGGTTCGCTGGCGACGAGGCCTTCGGGAAGATCTCTCTGGCTGGCAGGACTCCATCTTCGCCTTTTCTAGAGGCTTCTCATTCTCGGACAGATCTTGAAAACACTGAGAGTGTGTTTCCATTTGCCGGGCTCTATTCTCTACCAGTTCTAGCATCTGAGTAACTATTTGAATTTTTTCATCTCCGAGTTCCTGGCTGTTGATCAACGCACGCTGAAGATGCTGCTGCAAGCGTTTCTTCTGCACGGGGTCATTCTCCGACTTGTACTTTTCATAGACATCATCTATTTCTTTTAACGCTTCTATAAAATAAAGATAACACGAATAGTTACACAAGATGGAACGTGCTCAGGAAAATACAGAAACTTATTTCTAGCTGATGAGAAAGCGTGGCAGTTTTAATTATAGTATCTGCTGGTGGGCTAGACTGGATCTTTTATTCATGTTGCATGTGGTCATCCAATCAGTTGGTTAAGATCACAATCTGTTGCCAGAATGATTTCTCAGGCCCTAAGAAAAAGCTCATTTTAGGCATTGTACAAAGAAAGGATAAGCCAAGAAAGGGGACCGTATCTGCTGGAGGGTGGATAGTCCAGATCCTGCCTCCAGCTGAAAAAGCAGGAAGTTCTGTTGAGAGTCCTCACCTCAGTAGTGCCAAAACCCTGGCCTACAAACCAAAGCAACAGCTTATTCTATCACAGGAAGAAACTTTCAATTCATACAATCGTTCTATATTGTGGCATATAATGCTCAAGAATGAGGATATCCAGGTTCCTCTGCCTTTCCCTTCTTACTTGTCTAAAGCTTTCAAGGAGACATAAAATGATGACTGAAGATACATAGTAGCAAATTTACAATCGGGATTTAAACCATCTTAAACCACTCAAAATGCTTTTCCCCTATTACAGCAAATTACAGCAAGCTGCATTTTAAAAATCCAGGCTGAGCTTTTCAGAATGGCTGTCCAACTGTTTACTACAACTAGTAATGAGCGCTTCACAGGCTGACCTCTAGACTTTTCTTCTTGCAAGACATGCAAAATAACTGGATGAGTTGCTGTGAATCTTTCACAAAATTCAGTTCTTAGTTTAATGAACGCAAACAGGAGCTTAACAAATGCCCTATAAGCCAGTCTCACTCTGGACTCTACTGTTCGATACTTTCCAGACCAAAAGTTACACTAGATCTGCACATGAAAGAAATTGCTGATGAGGAAGGAAATAGATTAGTGTAACTGACAGTGAAACTTGACACGCAGTGTTAGACAAGGTTCCTTCAGAAACAAGGGTTTTATTTGAACAGGCAAGGCCTAAACTGTTGACTTCTAAAGCCAGAAGATGGGCAGTACAATCTCTCTCTTCCTCAAGACCCGTGTTTCACAAACCGGCTTTCATTTTTAAAGAGTTTGCCTGCATTGTACAGTTGTGAAATGATTCACGCCTGCACTAAATGGAAGCCATAGATATTATCTCAACATTGTTCACGGTGATTTTTTTTCCTGCTGCCATCTTTAAACAGTAGACAACGGCCACTTTTTACTACAAATTCTGAAACCTGTATGACAACGGGAGCCAACAGTATTTTGTTTTGTCCCAGACTTCCACTAAGGGATGATCAAAATCACTACTCTGCCTGCCCAGCAACTCACTTAACCTATTTTTTTCCTGGATACCGACATTCCAGCTACCATTAAAAACACAAGCTTTGTTTCCCTGCCTCTTCTCCTGCATCACTTGCCTGTTGCCCTGATCTAGGGGGATAAAAGAGCTTACTCTCTGCTCCTGAAGAGCATAGAGTAAGGTACTCGGTAGGCTGTTCAACCAGAAAGGCAAAACTAGAGTACAATATTCTGCAGCCACATTATCTCCCACCCAGCCTTTTCTTATGAGGGGGGGTGTAAAAAAAAAACCCAACAGTGTAGGTGTGATAACACAGATTTCCCATATTGGGAATGCCCTGCCCAGAAGAACCCACAAGCAGTAACTATTGACTTTTTTACACAGTGACAGAGAACAACATTCACTGATTATTCCCTGGATGCAGACCGTGAAAATAGACTGAGCACTTTAAATGGATCACCATCCATTAAAACGGGGAAAGGACGCTTGTACTGACAGAGATGCAAGTTAACCAAACTCCTTGTTGGTCCCTAGAATTAGAGAAGGCATCCATATGCCCCAACTAAATACCTCTGAAACCCCTGTTAAAAAAAAAAAAACAAAAACCAAAAAAAAAACAAAACCAAAAAACACCCACCACAACAACAACAACCAAAAACCAACAACACACAACCAAAAATAAGAAAACCACAACACGAACCAGGGCCAAGTGTTCATTACAGATAATCTGATTAAGTTTGGTGGAGCTAATGAGCGATAAAAGGATTTCAGTTTTCCAAGCACAGGAGTGGCATGAACTATCACAACCTTTTAAATCAGCTGAAGTCATATAGCACTGCTTTTACACCTTCAGACTGGGGCATAAAATACTTTTATCAAGTTTTTAGGGTTTTGTTGTTGGGCTTTTTTTTTTTTAAACAGTTGAAGACTTCGGTAAAACGAGCAACCAACCTCTGTTGTGGTGGCCCGGCGTCTGGAAGAATACAAATGGGAGATGCACCCTAAATAAACGACCCAATCCATGGAAGACAGATGCAGAGCGCTGGCTAGTCGCCCCACATCAGGCAGGGAGCCTGAGCAGCAGTCCAGCCTTGACTAAGAATGCAAAATGCTGCAGACGGGTCTCTGCCCTTGACTTAAAAAACAGACAAAACTTACAAAAGCCTGTTTATATGTATCTTCCCGAGTAGTTAGAAAGATAATGGAAAGAATCCGTCTACAACAGTCGCCTCCAGAGGTGGCCGTTTAAGGTCTGAAAGGCCGTGAGGGTCGCCTTACCCCCGCTGAAGCAAGCCTCCCCCCGAGCAGGGAAGGAGCTACTCCAGCTCCTACTCCAG